GTGGACGCCCTTGGTTTGGCACCGGCCCAGAAACTTAACTTCTGATGAGATCTGATGATATTCACAAATGAGAATTTTAAGAAATGTCTTATAACGGAAACCTGAATAACATTTGGAAGTATTGTTTCCCCAAAGACCAATGGGATGTTGCCAGATCACTCATGGGTAAGAGATTTCACTGATCGTTCAAGGGAGACAAGCAGATTTTTCTTTCTTTCTTTTTTTTAATGTTTATTTTTGAGAGAGACAGAGACAGAGTATGAGTGCAGGAGGAACAGAGAGAGAGGGAGACATAGAATCTGAAGCAGGCTCCAGGCTCTGAGCTGTCAGCACAGAGCCCGATGTGGGGCTTGAACCCACGAACCAGGAGATCCTGACCCGAGTGGAAGGTGGATGCTCAACTGAATGAGCCACCCAGGCGCCCTGGCAAGTGGATTTTTCTAGAGTGTGAAAAGCTGACTGATGTACCTACAGATCTGCACTGTGTCTGACCTGTAAGGAACTACTACTTGTTGGAATCTGGTGTGGTATCCACAAAGAATGCCCACAATTTTCTGAAAAGACTGTTAAAACACAGCTCCCTTTTCTAAATGAGTATCTATGTGAGGCTACATTTTGTTTTTCATATACTTCCCACAAATAACATCTCACAACAACCTGAACGCAAGGCAATGGGAGAACCCAGGCTTCCTCTCTTATAAACTGTACCCCCGCTGCCTGGCCTTTGAGGTGGGCCCTCTTGGCTACACCGTGTCTCCTTCTTTGAAAATCAGGAAGAGCAGTGGAGGTTTCCCAGCACATGATCTTTCGTAAAGAGTCACCTGCGGCTTAGTTGTTTATCGGAGATACCGTCAGATTTGCAAAGCATAAGAAGGACTGAGCAGCAGTGTATCACCTATTTAGTCTGCACCTGGGATTGCAAATTCTACTGTTCCGACTACGATGACTTAGATAAGCTCGCCTTTGGGAACATTCGATTTCAAAGTAAAATTTCAGGACGGGGGCAGCCGGTGGATCAGTCGATTGAACATCTGACTTCTGCTCAGGTCATGATCTTGCTGTTCATGAGTTCAAGCCCCACATCCGGCTCTCTGCTGTTAGCGCAGAGCCCGCTTCGGATCCTCTGTCTCTCTCTCTCTCTCTGCCCCTCCCCCGCTTGCTCTGTCTCAAAAATAAATACACTTAGAAAACAAAAACCTTTTCAGGACAGATTTAGGATCTAAGCACATCTTCATAGCAATTTTCCTTCCATTGGAATTACTAACTTATGTGCCTTCCTCAATGCAGAGAGGTGATTCGTATTTCTGGCTCTGGAATAAGACAGCTAGAGTTTAGTTTTGAGACATTCAGCTATGTGCTCTCTTTGCTGTTCGAGCTACTTTACTTGGCCTCCCCAAGACCAGCCTCAGTTTCTCCTAAAAGGGGATGGTGGCAGCATGGACCACAAGTCCTGATCCACAGTTTCTGTGCCCTGAAGCCTCTAAATGTTACGTGCCTTTCTCTCGGTAGAAATAGTTTATGTGCAAATATATGCATAAACATATGCAAATATTTACACGTTACATCTATTTGTGTATCTGTGTACATACTCGTGTGTTATGTGTGTATGTGCACACATTACACACTTACATTTCTGCACCATTTCCCACGAGGTTCTGGAAGGTGGAGCCACGTCTTAGATGTCTGGCCCAGGGTCTGGCGCGAAGGGGGTCTTCAGTAAATGTTTATTGACGTGGACTGCTGTGGGAGAAGAGTTTCATTTCGAGCACTAGAAAAATATGCTCAGAATAAGCCCCTTTCCCCTTCCTACGGGGAGAGCTGGTGTTTCCACCGCCCTTCCCGTGGTCACTGCTGCCAGTCCGGAGCAGGATCCCCCGGGAACTCTCCAGGGCCTGGAGATTTTGTGCATGGCCGAGCACATCCGTGGCTGTGGCCTCCTGCTTAATTTCCATTTTGATCTGTCAGCTTAGCTATTGCGGGATGTGAAGAAAGCCGAAGCCGCTGCTTCTCAGATCGACCTGGACAGACGGACATCTGTGCCTGTGCACGTTCTCATGTGCGCCCGTGTGTATACGTGTGGGGCTGTGTGCACGCGGGTGTGTTTGCACTGGCAGGCGTGTGCAGCTCCCACCTGTGACGGCCCTCGGAGGCAGGGATGCTCTGCACAGGTCACAGAGTGAGAGGCGGGGCCGGCCTGGAGCCCGGCACTTCGGACTCCGTGGACTTGGGACAATCACTTCATCTCCCCCGGAACTGAATTACTCTCCACCAAACGAAGAGACTGGACCTCTGACTTCTGATAACCTCTCACCACCCTTAGAGCTCAGAGGCATCGGGCTTTCTCTCTGTATGGTCACCTCCTCTGCAGAGCAAAACCAAATGTGGACGCTGGTTAGGGGAGGTTCTAACTGGAAAGACTGTCGCAATACGGGGGTCAGGCAGACGTTACAGACCAGGTCAGCCAGCCCTTTGCGAGGCCAAGGCACCTGGGAGGTCCGTGTCCGGCCGGCCGCAGGTGAGCAGCCGCAGGTGAGCGGCCGCAGGTGAGCAGCCGCAGGTGAGCAGCAGCAGGTGAGCACGGGCTGCAAGGGGCCGTTTCCTGGAACACAGAGGCTGGGGTTTCATTCACTGCTGCTCTTTTCCAAGAGCACAGGGCTCAGGTCAAATTGAACATTTCGAACCTCAAAGCCAAGTCCGCTCTGAACTCAGTGGTGGGGGGTGACCTGACAGCTGCCCTGAGCTCTGAAGATTCCCATGAGAACTGGATGCGGGCACTGGTTTGCAGGTTGAAAATGAGGGCCGATCGGGGTGCCTGGGGGCTCAGTTGGTTAAGTGTTCGACTTCGGCTCAGGTCATAATCTTACGGTTCATGAATTTGAGCCCCACGTTGGGTTCTGTGCTGATGGCTAGGAGCCTGGAGTCTGTTTTGGATTCTGTGGCTCCCTCTTTCTGCACCCCCCTCATGCTCTATCTCTTTCTGTCTCTCAAAAATAAATAAACATTAAAAAAAAAAGTTTAAAGAAATGAGTGCTCATGGCTGAAAGTTATGTTCTGGAGGCCAGACCGGGAGCCTGCATCTAGGACTGTGGTCCATTCTCAGTAGCGGAAAGTTCTACCTCAACATCTTAATCGAGTGAAGGTTTTCTTTTCTCGGGTTGCAGCAAGTCTGAGCTGGAAGGTGGTGGGCAGGTGGTGTGCGGCTGATGACATAAAGGACCAGGGAGCCGCCTGTCTTCCTGCTTCTTCCTCCCAGCCTGTGGCATTCATCTTCATGGTAGAAGGATGGTTGCTCTTCTTGTGGGCATCATTCCGCATTCCAGGCAGGATACGGCTTTGCCGTTTTATTCAAAAAGTGATACCCTCTTTCATGGACCTTGGGGCGAAGCTCCCTGGAAAGAACTGTGTCATATGGTCACACCTAGCTCCACGGATCTGCGGCAAGTTAAATATAGCATGAAAATGCCCCGCCTCATGGTGAAATTCCTTGAATATTGAAGCTTTATCTTAAAATATCTAGTGAATTTACTTACAAGTCTACATTCGTCTTAATATAAAAATAATATTTGAAGTATTTAGCAGTTAAGTAAGACTCCCCCCCCCAAGGCCAGACTAAAACTGAGGACAGGCCGTGTCCAGTTGGTGGCCGTGAGCACGCAGGGCACACCCCATGGAGCCGCGCTCCCCCGGGCCCTCCCAGGATGGCCAAGCAATTATCGCTTCATCACCTCACGGTAATTGGACTTCATAGACTTGAAAACACGGAACCCGGGAGGGCTGGGTATAGAAACACTATGGATTTTCAGTCCAGAGGAAACACGTGTTTAGAGAAAATAGGTTAAGATATAGTCATAGCTAAAGCTGCCCTAAAGAGAGATATTGATTATTATTTGATGCCTCAAATAATAACAAAATTGCCAGATATCTCAGGATTTGCCCAAACAAAAGCTACTATTGAAATGAACAGCATTGGGCTTCTGAGCCCCCGTGGCCTGGAGAACCGGCTCGGGCTTGCAAACGTGGCCGAGAATCTGTGGTCTCCTCTGCAGGGGAGACTTGTTCCTTTTGTGTGAAGGTAACACAGCTGGCCCTGCGACTTCCAGGTTGTGGGAGGGAATTGCTCTGACCCCAGAGTGTCTTGCCCCTTTGCATGTCCATGCATTCGCTTAAAATGGATCCTTCCACGCATCAGACGCTCTCCTAGGACTTTGGCATTGGACAAATATGAGGGATACGGCCCCCATCCTCAGACAAGCACACAAGTTACTTTTAGAGAGGGACAGGCACCAAGATTAAATAAAATCTGGCGATTGTTACATCAGAGGGGATTCTGGTGGTCAGCCTCAGGCACTGTGGTCAGGGAAGGCAGCCTCCGGCCAATGCTGTTTACGCTGGATCCAGCCCTAGCAGGGATGAAGGTATTTCCATGCAGGCCGTGGCAACTTTGGATTTTAGCTTGGACTTGGCATCTATGATATTTTTATCAATTACTCTGAGTTCTGTTCTCTGACGTCACACAGAACTATTCTCTCCAACCTTACTGCTCTTCAAGTAAACAAACAGCTGTCAGGTCAAGAGCCTTCCCACTCATCCATTCAATAGTCCCTGCCTGTGTTTGGATCTTCTCCAATCCCAATGGCTCCCTTCCAGCTGGGGACCCTGCGACCAGAGCCGGCACCACGGCCTCGGCCATGGGGCCACGGGAGCCATGTGGACGTGCCCAGGCCCCTAGGCCTTGCTGGCCACTGCCCCCCTCAGCACATGGCTCCATCCGCATCACTCATGCACACTCACCAGACTCTTCCAGAGATGCTCTTGTGTTGCATGCAAGCCAGCACCTATGAGCAGAGGCTCCAAGGAAGCCTCAGGCTTTGTTCAGGCTGAACGTTCAGACTCGCACAGTTATTCTCATCCTTTGTAATTCGACCCAATTCAAAAAAGAACAAACCTCATAAAAAGCATGGTAATAAAAAAAAAAAAGTGAAGGAAAACAATATGTCTGCACTGAGCCGCAGAGGGCTCGAGTTTAGTGAGATTTCCATCTGGGAAAGGTTCAGGGGAGATCCCATTTTATCCAAACTAGGTCAATCTTTGCTTTTCTCTTTCTTGCTTAACCAGCCGCTTGCTCGCTCATGGCTTCTCCCGGTGCCTGTAATGAGAAATGTGTCCCAGTGTAATTACAAAGATAAAAGCTCAGTGAGCACAGGCAGGGAGAGCGGGCACTAGGAAAGACCACATGCTCCAGGCTGTTCCCACTGCTCAGCTCCAAGCGCCTGGTCCAACGGAAGGTGTGGGGCAGCTCCTGGGCAGCCCGTCACGAACCTCTTTGCTAATGAAGCCAAGGATGGTCTTTTCTCCCATAAAGATGAAGCCCTGTCTGGGAAGTCAAACGAATTTGCATTTGTTGTGATGGTGACCGCAGGACAACTTTGAGGCATTTTAGCTGGAAGATAAAAGCTTTGGGTGAATGACATCGGCCTCCTTCTGACTAAGCCGTCAGGGCCACCATTAGCCCATCCATCAACCTACCCACCCATTCATCTCTTAATCCCTTCACCCTCCCGCTCAGTCATCCAGCCACCCACCTCTCCAATCCATCCATCCACCTACCCACTGACCCGTCATCCACCCATCCGTCATCCATCCATCCATCTGTCCATCCAACCACACATGCATGCCCACCAGCTTCCCTTTGCCTGCTTGCCACTTTCCCTAAAGGGCCTTTTCTAGGGTCCCTTCCCCAATTCATCTGGGGATCCAAGGTGCTCTGTGCGTTGGGGAAGGCAGGTGAGGTGTGCAGCTCACCTCAGCCGGGGTGGGGACAGCGATTCAGATGACCCCAGTGAGCACTGATGTGTTATCATCATAACTATTCTTGACTGAGTGCTCTCCATGGTGTTGGACTCCCATCATGTGGAATCGTTTTGACACATTTAAGGGGTAGGTGCTACAATCCACACTTTACTGAGACCAGCTTAGAGGAGTTAAGTGCTTGCCCAGCATCCTACAGCTACGAATGAGGGAGTCTGGAGTCAGATCCATGCAGTCCGGCTCTGAGGCCTGGCATCTCTGGATCATAGCCGCTCTAATCTCTTCCCTCCAGGAATGAGTGAGGTCCCAAGTCACATCGCTTCAGGGAACGACCTCCCCCCCCGCCCCACACACACACTGAGAGCCTGTTACAAGCTCTCCAATTAGCCAGCTCTCAGGAATAAGCCACGGCCACGGCCATGGCTCACCACCTGGCCGCCAGTGTACAAGGTGCTGAAGGCCTTTGCACACTGTTACCATGGATACCACTCCCCTCCTCAGGTAGGAATATTTCTGTGCGCTGCCTGGAAAACAGAGATTCAGCTACACCAGCTGATGATTTTAAAGACAAAGCTGCCCTTTGCTAGAGAGAAAAGAAAAAATAGTAAAATTAAAAGCCCTCACAAATTCTGAGGTATCATACTCATTTGGCTTTTTGTCTTGTGCTTAGGATTTATTTTCATGTTGAGGCGGTTCTCATGTGGAGTGAGATATCTGGCCTCTGACTTCCAGGGAGAGTGCAGTGTGGGGGTGACATCTGTCATTATGGGGAGCCTGGGCTCCTGGACAGGAAGCAGGATGAGCTGAGGCACGCCCTTCCCTTCAGGCTGGCGGCTGGCGGTGGTCCAGGGTGCAAAGCTCCTGGCCCCGGCTGCGGAGTCGGCTACTGGACATTCTATGTGCAAGCAGGTTTTCAGAGGTTCTGTGTCACCCACCTGCTGAGAATGTCCCACACATGACCAGCAATTGGGGATCGAGGAGGAACCCGGTGAGGGTCTGGCTTCTGGACTCCCAGCCATGTCTGAGGGACCTGAGGTTCCCTGGTGGTGGCTTGAATCTGCCTGGAGCAGCTCAGGGATGCCTGGGAGGGACGAATCCCAAGCCCAGCTGAAATCAGAGCTGCTGGCTTAAGTTAGTTTTTAAGATATGATTTAGATACAGTGAAGGTGCACCTTCCTAGGATGCAGTTCTGTGAGTGTTGGCAAATGCGCAGTCACGTAACCACGGCTACAAGAAGGTATAGAACATTCCTTCCCCCCTCCCTCAGCTCCTGGCAACCACCGATCTATTTTCTGTCCTTAGAGTTTTGCCTTTTGGGAATGTACTATAAACCGAATCGTACAGCATGTGGTGTTTGGAGTCTGGTTTCTTCCAAAGAGCATGATGCATTTGCGATGTATCCATATTGTTGGGAGTATGGAGAGTTCCTTCTTTTTATTGCTGATGAGTTTTCCATCAGTTTGTCTACCGCTTCCCCAGTTAACAGACAACTGCAGTGTTTCCTTTTTTTTTTTTTAGGTGGTTTTTAAAATGAAGCTGCCATCGATATTTGAATACAGTTGTCGTGTGACAAAGATTCTTATTTGTACTCTGCTGAGTTCCGAGGGCTGAGATTGCCGGATGTTAGTAAGTTTAAGTTTGTAGGAAACTCCCAGCTGTTGTGCATAGAGACTGTGCTATTTTCCACGTCACTGGTAGTGAATGAGAATATCTGTTCGCCATACTCCTTCCAACGTTTAGTTCTCTCTGCTTGCTTGTGTTTAATTTGACCATTCCTGCAGGGTGGAGCGGAACGCCGCTGTGCTTTCAACCTGTATTTCCCTAGTGATGACAGATGTTGAACATCTATCATATGCCTATTTCCCATTTGTACCTCTTTGTGAGTGCAGTGTCCATGTACACTCTTATTTCGCTGCTTTTATTTGTCTATGTATTGAAGTGGACAGAGAGAGTACAAGAGAAATTACATGGGCTGATAAAAGCAGTTGGGAGTGCAAGCAGAAGTGTGGTCTTCCAGCAGGGCATCTACCGCTTTGTCCAAAATTCCAGATTAAGGCCTACACCTGGTTTATTTTAGGATAATAGCAATGGTATGGTGGATACCTCCCCAAACAAAGACCCTGATGGCGGCCACTTGCAACTCCATCCTCCACATTGTGTTTAGAGGAACCCTTCAGTGTCTGATCATCGCTATTGGTGCACAAGACAGATGATAGAGCTTTAATTATGCCAATAAATTTCATAGTATTTATACTACCAGATAACGAACAGCTCATGTTAGTTACTCAATAAGCACTTGTGGAATACATATAAAATTCAGCCCCTGCCATCTTGGGTTCTGTATTTGGTTTAAAAAGCCAACACTGAAGTCATCAGAAAGAGAATTAAAGACATAATTGGTGATGCCAGCTGTTGGAAATGGGCACCAATAAGAAGGAAGATGAGTTTTATGCAGTTACGAGGGTCCACTTGGGAAGTAGGGGACTTGTGTTGGGTGTGGAAGGGAGCCTGGCAGAGAAGATGGCGAAAGAGAATCCACCTGAGAAGGAAGGGCAAATGTGAGCAAGGCATGTTGGGGGGAAGCGGAATGGGGGGATGGGGGTTGGGGGGATGGGGGATGGGATGATGGGGGATGGGAAGATGGGGGATAGGGGTGGGGGGAACCAGGCCAGCCAGGGCAGAAGGCTCACACCAAAAGCAGCGTGTGGTTGTGGGGGGGGGGGCATGGAGGCTGAAGCCACAAAGGCCAAATGTAGCCCCCATCCCCATGCCCTCCCCTTCTATGGTGTCTTTGCTGGACCAGAACGTACAGTCTCCAAGTCCTCCACTCACTTTGGCCACGGACTGGCTGCATCACTGCAACCCCCCGGGCGAACACACCTGGCGAGTGAAACGCCGCCCCGTCGGACTTCTACTTGCAGGGAGACATCACTCTAACAAGCAACGTCTAACATTTCATCATATAAGTCACCTCACACCAAGAACTGTGTGATGCTGGGCAAGAAAAGAAGAAAAATCCTCAGGCTTCACCAGAGAAGAGTCTCCACCTGGAGCTCTCGTTCGGTGAGGTGATTACTGTAGAATTCTTCCTTAGTCGCACGCCTCAAGACCTACGCACCAGCGGGCTGCAGTAAATCACGTTTGCTGCAGAGTTTTGGCCACTTCTCTGGCTTCTTAAATATCTCCTCCTTGGTTTCTTTTATTGAACCAGCAATCCATATGCACATTGATTAGACTGCAACAGGAATAGTGCTTCGTTCAGCTGATTGTGGAAACAAAATCTATTTGTCAAGACTAAGTCCATGGCACAGACGATAACCAGATCTCTCAGGAGCGCCCCCGTGAGGGGTGGTGTGGACGTGTCCATGGCTGGGCTTCTAGGCCTCAAGGGCAAATGAAGCTGGGCACCAGGCCTCGCTCGGAGCTCCACTGGTAAAAGGGCTGGTGCTTCGCTTCATGCCCCGGCCCTAGGTCATGCAATCCCTCGGGGGTCCCACCCACGCTCACAGCAATACTCGCCTTCTGCCTCAATGGCTCCTGCAGGCTCCCTCGGCTTCTGGTCTCTGTGCACCTGTTCTGATGTCACCATTAAAGCTTTGCTTGCTGGGACCTGTAAAGGCATGAGGAGGAGACAGACTTTGATGGCTTTGGTGGCGCTGGCTCACAAGGATAGTCCTGTGGTGGAATAATCGCTCTATGTCCAAGAATATTAATTAAAAATCGGCAGACACATGGGAGGCTCACAGCACCATATGGCCACAGAGTGCTGGTGCCAGGGATATGTCCACAGCTCCTGAGACACCCTCCAGGGGACACCCAACATCCATGCCTCTGTGGGACTCTCCCTGTAGCTGGTGCATCACCACGCTGTGGCCCTTCTGTATTTGTGCAATGGTTCCTTCAGAGCCGATGGTCATCTCTGTGTGCAGCCCTCACAAGGTAGCCTTTGTCTCAGACACCAGCCTGGGGAGTGACACCCTTAACTGGCCCCTGGATCCACTGATGTTCTCTTTGGGATGTGGTGGGTTTTTTTTTCTGTTTGACTCCACATTCCCCTCCACCTCCCAGTGAATGTTGTCGAGTGTTTCTAAAACACTCTCTAATGCTGATGTGCCTCAGACCAAATCTATCCAACAATTATTTTAACATCTATTGTCAAGTTGGTTTCCATACAACTCCCAGTGCTTATCCCAACAAGGGCCCCACTCCATGCCCATCACCCACATTCCCCTCTCCCCTACCCTCCCATCCACACTCAGTGTGTGCTCATTATTTGAGAGTCTCTTATGGTTTGCCTCCCTTCCTCTCTGTAACTTTTTTCCCCTCCCCTTCCCCCATGGTCTTCTGTTAAATTTCTCAAAATCCACATGTGAGTGAAAACATATGGCATCTGTCTTTCTCTGACTTATTTCACTCAGCATAACACCCTTCAGTTCCATCAACGTTGCTACACACGGCCAGGTGTCATTCTTTCTCATTGCCGTGTAGTATTATTCCATTGTATAGATGAACCACATCTTCTTGATCCATTCGTCAGTTGATGGACACTTGGGCTCTTTCCATGATTTGGCTATTGTTGAACGTGCCGCTATGAACATTGGGGTCCATGCGCCCCTATGCATCAGCACTCCTGTATCACCAACATCTGTTTTTGTAAAAAAAGTTTTATTTAACATGCGTTTGTGTCTGACCTATGGCTGCAGCACAGACGCCTGGCCGCGGAGCCTGTGGTGTAGACTCTCTGGCCCTTGGCAGAACTAGCTTGCTGACCCTGGTTTCGAGAGTAGGGAGCATCTCACAATGAGAAGTGTTCAACAGCTCTACCCTCAGGAAGAGGAAGCACTGAAGGAATTACAAAAACAAACGGTCTTAATGAGATAACTTAGGGAAGAGGATCCGGACCCCTCGGTGGGGACTGGGACGGAGGGGTGGAGCCCCAGCCTCTCCAGTCTGAGCACGTGTTTCCCAGCAGGGCTCTTCTGGGGGGTACTGCTCTGCCATCGTGTCACGCCGGGCTGCAGAGCTACGAACTGGTTATTGCGTGTCTTTTTCTGTCACGATGAAATCGCTGAATGAGGTCACTCCATCACGGCGACCTGGGCCCTGCCCTCATCCTCACACTCACGGCCTGGGGGTGCAGGAGCAGCGGGCTGCTGCCATGCCGGCCGCCCCGGCTCCGCGCTCCCACCTCTCTTCCTCAGGACCTTCGCGGGCGGCTCTGCGCCCCGCATGGTGAGCAGCCACCCCACCTGCCTGGGCGACTGCACCTGCTCCAGTCAGGGACGAGGGGCTCAGGAGGGATCGCGGACCCCCTGCCCGGACTCGAATGTCACATTCTATCACTGACTGTCTCGAGGGGTCTCTTGGTGGGTGGGCTCCCCGGGCACTGCCAGCGCTCCGCTCCTGGCCCTCAGCGCGTCTGCCATGGGGACGGGAGAGCGAGCGGCTGGGTTTTAAAGCCAAGACGCTCATTTGGTCACTGTGTGAAACTCTTGTCTCCAAATGATTCGCATTTCAACTGTGCCTAGCAGCTCAGTATAAACCATCCTTACATTTATCTTGATGGTCAAGATAATTTTTTCAAACAATGTCAGCACCAACTGCAGAATGGAAAAGTGAAATGAGGAGAAAAATAAAACCTTTACCAGAAAAGAAAGATTCAGAGATGGGCAAAGGAAGACATAGACTCAGGAAGACAAGGCTCCCTGAAGCCCCGTTTATCACACCCAGTGTCCCTTCCACGGGGCTTCTTTGCACCCCCGTTTTCTGAGGACCCCTAGACACGCAGAGCCCCAGTCATGCCTCCTATGAGCCCCAGGAGAGCTCCAGGGACACACACAGCACGTCCCCCCTTGCACAGGTGATCCACTCAGAGGCCCCCACACGCTCTCCTCTGAACTGGGGGTGCAGCCACCTGCTCAGGAGAAGAGGGGCAGACGAATGAGGGAAGCACAGGAAAGACGTCAGCTGTGTTATCCTCTCCTTACAGACAAATCCAATTGTTCCCCAAACCAGCCAAGGATTCTTGAAAATACCAAAACAGATGCAGGCTCTAGACCCCACCCCAGGCCCACTGGATCAGAATCACCAGAGAGGGGCCCGTGGGAGGTGTGTTGCACCTGCATCCCAAATGGACCTCATAATAAGGCAAGTTTGGGGTGGGTGGGCCTGGCCCTTCATAGCTCG